AAACCCTAATTATGAGTATTTGGGCCTTGAACTTATTTGGACCCACTTTTGGGCCATTGGGATTGGATTGTGAATTAAGCCCAAACTATTCCAGGCCATTTATCTAGTAGAGTAAAGGACTTAATCGACTAAGTCCTTAATGGGCTAATTGATAAAATCCTAATATTTGAGAAATTATCAGGACACACACAAGAATTATTTAATAAGTGAATATTAAATAATAATCATTGGCAGAAATTAATCTAAGCAATAATGGACTTAATGGATTAAGTTCTTAATGGATTAAGTCTTTAGTGTGGTAAGTCCTTAATGGGTTAAGTAAGAAACAATTAACCCTAGTTATCAGTTGATGTGAAACCCTAATGTCACATGGGCCTTAAGTTGGGCTTTTCGATTGGGTAATTGGTAATTAGGCCAATAATGGGCCATCCAAGAATGATTATGTACTAGAATATTTAGTTGGGCTTTAGGGTAAGGCCCTAATGAAGGATTGAGCCCAATTTGGAAAATTAGGCCATAGATGGGCCATAGTTGGGCCTAGATGGTTGTATGATATTGGGCCCTTAGAATGAGATATGTTGGACTGGACTGAGCAATTGGTCCTTAAAGGAAGTCCATGTAGAGGTTTGGGCCCAATTTAGAAAATCGGGCCATATGTTGGGCTTTGATCCCTAGTTGACTTTGGGCCTATGGATTGGACCTTGGGCTTGGGTAAGCCAAGCTTGGGGTAATGTAGTAATTATCCAAAGTATTTAATTATAGTTATGTAGTGGAACCCAATTATTAATTGGGTGTTATTTTGATGTTGACAGATCGGGAATCTGTCATCATGCAGCTAAGGTTGAGTTTGCGAGACTTCAGCAGTATGAGATTGTGTCTACGGGACTTCAGCAGTGTGAGGTGAGTTTCCTTCCAGTAGGAACGGGTCTAAGGCCACAATGTCGGCCCGTTTAGCTAGTAGTAGTTTCTGGACTTTGGTCCGATGCAATTTTAGTATGTTTGATGCCTTCGTGGCTCAGACTAGATTTATGTGTTATGTGTTCCGGGCCACAGCCCGATGTAGTATGCAGTTTATGTGTTCATACTAATTGATATGTTATGTTATGCTATGTTATGCTCAGTTAGATTCCGGATTACGGTCCGATGTAGTTAGTTTCGGACTTCGGTCCGATGCAGTTTCCGACTACGGTCCGATGCAGAGGGCAAGGCCTTGGTTAGTTCCGGACTTCGGTCCGATGCAGTTTTCGGAATTCGGTCTGATGCAGTGGGCAAGGCCCAGTAGGTGTTTATATGTTATTGTATGGTATGTGGTAGTTTGGGGGAGCTCACTAAGCTTCGTGCTTACAGTTTTCAGTTTTCATTTCAGGTACTTAGTTTTCAAAAGAGGAGCTCGGGAAGATTGCAATGCACACACCATTTGTTCAGCCTGGGATGTTTATACTCTGATATATTTGATAGTTGTTATGATATTTTGAGATATATTGTTGATGATTCTTATATGATGTTTAATGAATATGGTTTAATTACTAATTTAAAACGAATTTTTCAGATTTTGTTTTTGGGATGCTTCACACGCCCCGTTTCTCCATTAATCTTTTTCTCAAATCCCTCAGATCGAAAATGAAATTTGGAACCATCGGACCATCGCCTCCATTTTTATTTTTTTAGATATATAACCACTGATCAGAAATGAGTTCTATGTGGAAGAACGATAATGACGACGGACGAGACTGCTAGTTTTCAAAAGGTCCGTGGGTATAAACATGAGACCATTTGAAATGTTTATGGATAAAATGTATAATTTTTACCAAACAATAAGGACGATTTTTGTAATTTAAATAAATTCTAGAGTTCGTTACGTATGCATAAAGAAATTGACATGTGTCAATTGGTTACTGGTTCTTAACTTGATGCCCTAATTATTCATTTTTCATAGAACCTATATATATATATATATATATATATATATATATATATATATATATATATATATATATATATATATATATATATATATATATATATGAGAACACCTAAAAGGTTGAGAACGCGAAAATAGTTCTAGACCAATCATTTTATAAGGGTATATTAGTAACTTTATATAAAAATTGATTAATGATTTCCTAAAATCTAGGGATAATGATTTTAATTACCTAAAAAAATCAATAGTTCTTTTTAGGTAATGGAATATATATAATTTTTTTTTCATGATGATTTTTCCAAAAAATAATTTATGAGCGTTTCTTTTTCTTTAAAAGGAAATCAGTAAACCTCAAATCACAAATGAATCCACTTTTATTAACGATCCCATTTTAATACACTTCTATTCACAATCAGAAATAATAGACACTGTTATTCACAAATATCACAAATGAATATAACAAAATAGTACATAAATTACATCTAAAAGAAAATGATAAAAACGAATATATGTTCATTATCATTTATTCAACCAAGATACAAATACCTCTAATCAATATTGAATACATTTTAATCACAAATGAAATATACTTCTAATAAAAAATGAAATTACAATACATAAGTTAGCTGTTTTTCTATCAACTTAAAAGAATACATATATGAAACATCGAGCTCCCTTTTCTTGAAAATGTGTTTCCAATTGCTATTTTGTTTCCTTATTTCTTCTCAATCAACCTAACACAAAAATCACTAGATTAATTCATCAATTTTAACTTTTTATCGACTATTGTCTATGAAGTATGAAATTTTTTAAATAGATATGATCTTACTTGTACTGTTAGTAGAAATTGGTGAAATTGAAAACCATATCTTTGAGTAATGTTGTTGGTTCTTTTATCTTCTTTAGTATCCAAAACCTACATCAAGTGTTATAATCATTAATGCATCAAAGTGCTATAATCATTAATGACAGGCACTCAACACTTACCTTTTGATCTTTTGATCGTTAGTAATCATTAACGATTAATGATGCTGGTGCTTTTTTCCTTTTGTAGTGCATCCAAATCATGATTTTATCGTCTCATGCTACCCTCTTGATCTATATGCCTCTTATATCCAACTACTATGAGGTAGAGTGAGACTCAACGAACTTTGATTTATGATTTTCTACTAGTATCTAACATCACACCAAAAAACAAAGGCACTTGTGATCATTGTTATTCTTAAATTCATACCTATAAAATGAGTTCAATGATATTAAAAAAAACAATTCACAAACTATAATAATATATAGGGAATGTTTATATACATCTTCATTTATTCACAAAAGCTTGTATATATGTTTATAGTTATATTCATGTATAATTATAACTATATTCATGTATGATTATTGCACAAAATGAAGAAAAAAAAAACAAATGGCAAACAGATAGAAATATTTAAGTAATTTTGTTTGCATCAATATAGATAAATTTGAATGTTTTATTGTTTTTTGCTTTTTCATTGAGGGTGTAGCAAAAGGTTAGCTTTGATTTTCATTCATTGAATATCGTTAGAAAAATATCAAAGAAAAAATTGAAAAAGAATCAAACAAGCATTCAAGTTTCAGTTTTCTGAATTCAAGGATTTCATTGAGCACCTTATGTGCACAACTTATCTTCTTCCCCTATTAGTCAATTTAAATAAATGAGTAAAGTACCATACCTGAGAAACATACACATGCAAAAGAACGTCTCCTCTTGAATCTAGATGTAGGTGTGGAATATTTGTAACCAAACCGATATGCAACCAAGTATTTGCTCGAATAATGGAAGAAGATAAGCTGTATGCGATTTATGTATCAAATTTTTGACATCTAATTTATGCATTGAATTACTTGTATGCAATTCAAATGACACATTGGAAATCAAGATTCACTTTGGAAATCGACACATTGGCATAATACTCGCCGATTGATTTGGAGTAGATCAGGGGAAGGTCGATGTCTTTTCTTCCCCAGTGATGAGTAAGTTAGCCATTCATTGTCACTCGATCAGACGAGGATCGAACATTCCCCAATCGATTATGCCTCCCGATCCCTACTTAGTTCGTGAATCCTTCTCCTCCGATCAACATCAATTTGGAGATCTTGCTTCCCTTTTGGTGGTGGATCAATGTTGTAGGGTGGAGGCCTACCTAGGTTTACAGAGAGAGACGGGAAATGGAAGGAAATAAGTGAATGATTGATGAATTATAGGGATTAAACAACGATGGTAAAGATCCAATTACTATAATACCCTTATCATCATTTGAAGTTACACTTTAAT